CCGCAATTAATATGTTCCAATCGAAAACTCCCTTCAGAATTCCGGCTGCCATCCCATGAGATAGTGAATCTACTGTATTTCATTGTGTTGAAAGCGATCAAAGAATATCAAATAAAAACCACTTATAATTGTTTTAATGAACTAAATATAATCAACTCCACCAACATAAGCTCTCGCTGCTCGGGCAACTGATGCCTATTGCTGGAAATTCGACCTTACATCGGCAGAATTTAACGAAAAAAGGGAAAGTAGGGCTGCTGAAAATGTAGAAGTAGTTTATTACTATAAGTCAAAGGCAGCTAGGACCTCTAAAGACAGTCACATCTCGGCGAATTTATAGGAAATATTTAGCACATAAACTCTTCTTCTATGAAGCAACATAGATCAGTTCTACGTTGAGATATCACTCAGAAAACTTATAAGTGATGGGGTTTGTCGCACATATCACAGTTTTAGTTGGACTTACATGTTGTAAAGATGAGTAGACGAGGGCCAAAGTCTCGAGCTGGGTTCAGACAAGAACTCGCGTTGGCCATATAGGTGCCGACGACCAAGAAGACCACCAGACCCACGAAGGCTGGAAAACAATGGGGCGACTTCTTCACCAGCCTGTCCTCAGTGATGCCATAAATGCCGAATACGAGGAGGGCTGTTGTAACTACCTAGTCCACCGCCGCTGCCACATGACTCGCGCCCTTACCAGCCACAAATATGCCGCCGGTAGTGTTGGTCAAGTACTGCCCATTTTCAAAAGTATTCGCGTATTCAATTATCTTGGTGTTGTAGACAGCCAGCAGCAGACCAGCTCCCAGGTAGGCCCCGACAAATTCCAGTAAAATGTAGGCAGGCAGGAGGGACCATCGCAGGCGACCGACCAGGGCGTTGGCCGTGGCGAAGGCTGGATTCAGGAGGGCTGGACAGGCCTTGCCGGCAACCAGAACGCAGGTACACACCGCCGCACCCGAGCCCACACTCAGGCTGAGAAATTGGCCCACGTAGCCCAGTTGGAGGCCGAGGAATTTCTGTGCCACTGCACCATCAGCGTAGAGGATGAGCAGAGCAGTGCATAGGGTCTCGGCTATGAGTTGCGAGATAACCCTGTGTTCCGTGAGTCGAATCTTATCCGCGGTCCGGTGGATGAAGGAGCGGTAACGGTCGTGGAGATCCTGCAGAGGAGCCATGCTGGTCGTTGCCGAGGTGTCTAACCGGCGCGGTGGCTGGCTTTTTATAGCAGCAGGCACGTACACTAGCCAGGGGGTGTGTCTGCTTGGTAAGCATGCGGGCACATGGCATTGCAATTGGATCATATCAGCCTCTACCTTGTAGATAGACAACGCCATGCTTACTGTACTGAAACGATCCTTTCCTAGGAAATGTTAACGAATACCAAGAATGTACCATTTCTGGCTTATTAGCCGTCATCAGCCAGTCATACCCAATCTCGAGG